GTGAGCATGGTCTTGAATACCTCTTTTCACAAGTTCAGGGTTCAAATATGACCACAGCCACTATTTGACTTACATTTTCTCATATATTTTGTAACATAAAGGAAATAGATTGCAATTATTTCTAAAATTATTTGTATCTCTACAAATAGTATGATTCCCTTTATTTCTAGATGATCATCCAGGCTTACTAAAGAGTCAATAATCCTAAAGGTTTAATCTGAGTATTGTAATAACACTATTTAGGAATTTATGACTGCTTAAAACTTTCCTCTGCTAAATTTTGTATATGTGTTACAAATGTACTAATTTATAATGTATACAACATCACATTTTTATTTTAATGGGAAAGAAAACATCCCAAGTGTAATAGTGGTTCTCTGGGCTTGTGATTTAATGCCTCTACCACACTTAAAAGCCTTTAGTAAAAGAATTGAGATGTTCTAGTGGTAACGATCACTGGCGGAAAGAAGCTATTTTCTCTTATTCCCTGGCGGACAGAGATACTTAATATTCTCTAATTCATAGGGCAGCTCTTTTCAACCAAGTATTGTCCTTCCTCGTATCTAATAGTGCCCATGTTGCAAAATAGTAAAGCACTGTCCAACCAATGTTCGTATTTCAAAATGTACAAGTTTTTCTTTTCGCCTCATGACAGTTATCAAATGAATGACAAAGACTAGAAGGTTTTGTTTTCATGGCCAATCCAACTAAGTAACAGTAAATATAATATACTAATAACAACTGGACAAAATTACCTGATATTTAAGTGATGCTAGGATTGTGATTGGCAACCCTTCATATATTGCCTCAAGCGTTCTTAAGGGGAAGAAAAGAAACAGTTGAACAATGTGTCCTGGGGCTGTTCTTATAGAGTATATACTAATCCTCTTCAGAAAATACTTTGCATTGATTATGTAGAAAAAACTTCTTGGACAGAAGCCATACAAACTCTCACTACCGAGGAAAATATGGCAGAAAATAGATAAAGACAAAAGATGACTCTTTTAAGCTAGGATATTGTATACTCACAGATTACTGAACTCTGCTATGGTTGAATTTGTCCCCCAAAAAGAGTATGTTCAAAACTTAATCCACAGAGAAACAATGCTGGGAGCTGAAACCTGATGAAAGGTAATTAGGTCACCAGAGCTCTGTGCCCTCATGGATGGATTAATGTCATTATCTTGGGAGTAGGATTTTTAATCATGGGAAAATGGGATTCTGATAAAAGGACAAGTTTCCCAGTTAGCCTCACCCTGTCTCCCCCTTTCATCTTCTGCCGTGTGATGATGCAGCAAAAAGACCCTTGCCAGATGCTGACCCTTGCTCTTGGACTTCTCAGCCTATGAAACTGTAAGCCCATCAGTGCCTGTTCGTTGTAAATTATCTAGTCTCTGGTACTGTTTCAGTAGCACAAAATTAATGAAGATAGAGGTTTGGAAATGGAAAATTGGGATGTTGCTATAACAAATACCCGAAAATGTGGACATGGTTTTGAAACTTGGTAATGGATAGAGGCTGGAAAAATTTAGAAGAGCAGGCTACAAAACTCTGTGTTGCTGTGAACAGAGGATTAAGAGCAATTCTGGTGAGGGATGAGAAGAAGAGAACTAGAGGGAAAAGTGTGAACATCTTGGAGATTAATTAAGGAGTTGTATTCAGAATTTGGTAGAAATATGGTCAGTAAAGGCTGCTGTGATGAGGTCTCAGAAGGAAGTAAGAAATACCTCGTTGGAAACCGGAGTAAAGGCCGTCTTTCTTATAAACTGGCATAAATTTGGCTGAATTGTGTCCATATCCCAGGGCTTTGAGGAAGGCGGAGCTTAAGAGAGATTAAGATATCTGGTGGAAGAAATTTCTAAAGAAAACATTGAAGGATCTGCATGGTTACTTTTAATTACGTATCATATGATATGAGGGGATAGAAATGATGTAAAGATAGAACATATAGTAAAGAGAAAGCAGGGTGGAAAGATTTGGAAAATTCACAGGCCGGCCACATAAAGAGTGAAAAGGCATGTTTAAGAGAGTCAATCAAGGGTTTGGCCAAAAGTCTGTTTACTCAAAAAATTCGTACACATAGAATCCTAAAACACATTTTAGAGATCTTTAAGACAAGCTAAGACCTTGAGGGCCAGGTTTCCAGAGAAGTACTTGCAGGATCTCGGCCATTGCTGCCCTGTGCCGCCTTGAGTGTCTGATCCCTGCATCAGGCACCGTGTTCTTTCGCTGTCCACCTGTGCCTCGAACAGAGTATACGTAGCAAACCTTGGCAACATTCATTTCATGCTGACTCTGCAGGCCAACAGAGTTCCTGAGCTGCAGGGGTATGGCTTCTTCCACCTAAATTTTAAAGGATGTTGCATACAGCCTAGGGGTTCAGGCAGAGACTTGCCATAAGCGTGGAGCAACAGCAGAGAGTTCCCAGTAGAACAATGTCTAGCAGAAATGTGGGATTGAATCTGCCATAGAGAACTTCCACCAGGCCAACGCTTAGTGGAGCCAACAGAGCAAGACCACTTCACAGACTCCAGCACTGCTGAGCTGCCATCATGCAACACCAACTTTGGAGAGCTGCAGGCACGAGACTCCAACCTGTGAGAGCTGCTATGTGGGTCCAGCCAAGTAAAGCCACATGAGTAAGGCTGTCTGAGGCCCCGGTGTGACCGACAGGGTGGCACCTAGAGCAAACGATTTTTCTAGAGTCTTAAGATTTAATGTCGTCTGCCCTGCTTGGTTTTGGACTTACTTGGGTCCTATTACTTCTTTCGTTTTGCTTGTTCTTACCTTTTGGTATGGGAATGTTTATCCCATGCCTGTTCTACTTTGTATTTTGGAGATAGACAACTTTTTTTGATTTCACAGTCTTACGGTAGGAAGGGAACTTGCTTTAGGATTAATTGTGCCTGGTTTCCACTGATATCTGATTCAAACGAGACTCTGAACTTTGGACTTGTGAGTTGGTTCACAATTAGTGAAGACTTTGCGGCTATTAGAATGGAATAAATGTATCTTTCTTGTGAGAAGGACAGAGTTTTAGGGCAGCTGGGGAACCCAGGGGTGGGTTCACTGTAAAAAGGCAAATTTGGTCTCCTTTTCTCTTCTCTTTCTCTCTCATTCCCTCTCTTTTTGCCCCTCTCTTATCCTTTTGCCTTCCATTATGAGATGAACATTTTCTTTATAAATTATCCAGGCTTGGATATTCTGTTATAGCAGCACAAAATAGACTAAGGCAAGCTCTAAGCTCCATGTGGATGAGGACTTTATCCTGTAATTCCTTAGCATTCCCTCCAACACTTAGAAGACTTAAAAGCAGATCGCTAATGTTTTATGAGTTACATGACTCCTTGCTTGCTAGATTCTCAAAATAAAATTAGATAATCTATTATAAAGCTTCTTTTTTTAAATAAGCACATGATATTATGTTTGTAATGTTATAAATGACTTAGCTTTCAGTGGGATTTAAACGTTCCTTGAAAGACAAGAGATAGATATAAGATAACAATAAATGTATAAAATATAATAGAGAAATAAAATACAAAATACAATATTTATCATATTTGGACAATATTTATCATATTTGCTGTATGTGAAAGTAAAATGAAGACCCAGCTGTGGAACAATCAATTATGCATGGCACTGAGAACATACTGGGCCAGTAACAGTGTATTGCTTTGCAATGGTTTGTGTTATTTGAAAATATTTTAATGGGATGATATAGAGTGTGTAGAAAAAAAAATCTTTTCTTTCTTCTAAACATTGGTTAGAGTCTTAAACCCCTTTGTATAGTATCATATTCTATTAATATAGGCAGATGTGGAACATACAGAGAACAGCAAATAAAACTTTTCAAGTAAGACATAACTGATGCTAAAACACGTTTTTCTAATGTGATGGTTTTATCAATGCAAAAGAGAGGAGGATGTTCCTCAAATACAAAATATTTTTAAATGAGAAGTTTGTAGTTGCTAAATTCTAGTTAACGTCAAGAATCCAAAAAAACAGGCACATATTTAAAGTTTAGTAGGATAGTAATATCAACTAGTGTCTTTAGTTGGTGATTTTTTTTTTCTCCTTTCTTTAAGTCTCTCAATGTCCATTACATCTAAGGAAAATATGGTCATAGAAGGTTTGGGTTTTTTTTTTTTTTTTCATGAAAGTAAAATAATTAGATTGTGTGTGTGTGTGTGTGTGTGTGTGTGTGTGTGTGTGTGTGTGGTGTGATATATATCTATATATTGTTTTTCCTTTGAAATGAAAGAATTAGAAATTAGCAAGAATTAGTAAGGAAATAATCTATTCAGCTGTTTGCAAATTGATTTGTGGTAAGGATGATTGCAAAAGTGAGTTAAACATATCAAGGGAAAAAAATTCAAAATATTAGGAATATATTGTATATCAAGGTTAATAGATTAAAAATTATTCCCCCATTGCTTTGTGTAGCAAAACTCAGGCCATTTTAGCCTACAGGTGACATAGTAAATACAATTTTTGTTGTTAAGGTTTTTGAGATTGTTATCTTAGCACATGTAGCAAAATGCATTAAATCCATTTAAGCTCTTAGGATAGTGTTTGGCATATTATGAGAGATCAATCTATGTTGGTGATATTGTTGTCATAATTATGTTGTCATAATTATGAAGTCATAATTAGTGGATTGCTAAGTAATTTGGCAAATCTGAGAAACGGACCTGTTGGACCCTAGAACTCCACTTCTAAATAAGAAGACGGCAGTTAACACATATTTAAGAAACCTGTGCTTATGTTGATTACCACTGGACAGAAAACGATCCCAAGGTAGAGTGAACGTACAGACTGTTCAAAATAGATGTGTTCAGTCATAATCTGCCAAAGAGGAACCTGGATCTTGTTTTTAATTTGGGGGCCTCAAAAGGGGAATTTCAATTCAGCCTGGAAATTAGAGGCTACTGAAACTCCCCGTAGGTGATGGCTTTTATCCGACTTGTTTCTTCTGGACTGAATAGAAACAGTAGGAGTTACCTACCTCTCTCCCCGCTGTATGTCCAAAATGTCTCTTTCTAACAAGCTGACGCTGGACGAGCTGGACGTGTAAGGGGAGCGGGTCGTTATGAGAGTCGACTTCAATGTTCCTATGAAGAACAACCAGATAACAAACAACCAGAGGATTAAGGCTGCTGTCCCAAGCATCAAATTCTGCTTAGATAATGGAGCAGAGTCAGTAGTCCTTAGGAGCCACCCAGGCCGGCCTGATGGTGTCCCTATGCCTGACAAATACTCCTTAGAGCCAGTTGCTGTGGAACTCAAATCTCTGCTGGGCAAGGATGTTCTGTTCTTGAAGGGCTGTGTAGGCTCAGAAGTCGAGAAAGCCTGTGCCAACCCAGCTGCTGGGTCTGTCATCCTGCTGGAGAACGTCCGCTTTCACGTGGAGGAAGAAGGGAAGGGAAAAGATGCTTCTGGAGAGAAGGCTGAAGCTGAGCCAGCCAAAATAGAAGCTTTCCGAGCTTCACTTTCCAATACAGGGGATGTCTATGTTAACGATGCTTTTGGCACTGCTCACAGAGCCCACAGTGCCATGGTAGGAGTCAATCTGCCACAGGAAGCTGGTGGTTTTTTGATGAAGGAGCTGAACTACTTTGCCAAGGCCTTGGAGAGCCCAGAGTGACCCTTCCTGGCCATGCTGGGCAGAGCTAAAGTTGCAGACAAGATCCACCTGATCAATAATATGCTGGACAAAGTCAATGAGATGACTATTGGGGGTGGAATGACTTTTACCTTCTTTAAGGTGCTCAACAACACGGAGATCGGTACTTCTCTGTTTGATGAAGAGGGAGCCAAGATTGTCAAAGACCTAATGTCCAAAGCTGAGAAGATTACCTTGCCCGTTGACTTTGTCACTGCTGACAAGTTTGATGAGAATGCCAAGGCTGGCCAAGCCACTGTGGCTTCTGGCATTCCTGCCGGCTGGATGGGCTTGGACTGTGGTCCTGAAAGCAGCAAGAAGTATGCTGAGGCTGTCACTCGGGCTAAGCGGATTGTGTGGAAGGGTCCTGTGGGGTTATTCGAATGGGAAGCTTTTGCCCGGGAAACAGAAGCCCTCGTGAACGAGGTGGTGAAAGCCACTTCTAGGGGCTGCATCACCATCATAGGTGGTGGAGACATTGCCACTTGCTGTGCCAAATGAAACACGGAGGATAAGGTCAGCCATGTGAGCACTGGGGGAGGTGCCAGTCTAGAGCTCCTGGAAGGTAAAGTCCTTCCTGGGGTGGATGCTCTCAGCAATATTCAGAACTTTCTTGCCTTTTAGTTCCTGTGCACAGCCCCCAAGTCAACTTAGAATTTTCTGCATCTTCACTTGGCATTAGCTAAAACCTTCCATGTCGATTCAGCTAGTGGCCAAGAAATGCAGTGCCAAGAACCCTTGCACAGCATCTCTGCTCATCTTTACTGCACCCTGGATATGCCTACATTCTTCAGGATCCCATTTGAATTTCTTAGTGACTAAACCATTGTGCATTCTAGAGTGCATATATTTATATTTTGCCTGTTAGTCAGCTGTGTTAGCTTAGTTCTCTTTTGAGGTAGCTTATCCTTACTAGCTTTGTCACTGTTTCACTACTCAGCGTGAAAACAAGATGAAATTGCCTTTGTAAGTAGGGAGGTGAAATTGATGATCCATTAAATGAACAATAAAAATGTCCATTGAAACCGTGAAAAAAACATATCAGTAGCTGTTTGAAACTTTTGATTAATCAATAACCCTATAAAAATAATATGAATATGAAAAAGATAATTTGGAAGATACCTACAAATAGCAAATTATATTTATTATAAAATATTGCAGTTTAAATACAGTCATATATGTAATGATATAAAAGTAAAATGTTTGAGTATATGAATATAATAGTGACGTTGAATTATTCCTAGCTAGAAAAATTTTAAATTAAGATTTTAGCACAAAAGAAAATATGAATGTAGGATATAAGAAGGTGAGTTTACATTTTGTTTTTTCCCAAAATATTATTCTATATATGATATAAAACTTGCTAGTACATATACACGTATGCACACACATAGTGTTTACATATCATAAATATTTTTACACATATGTATATATCACAAATGAATAAAATATTTTCTGTTAAAACATATTGGGTAAAAATTTTTATAAATCACATTTTCATAATAACTAAAAGCATACTGAAACCAACCATAATTATATATATATAATGTAATTCAAGAAAGACTTTTAAATGTACTATATACACATTTTAATAGATGAGCGGGTAATGGAAATTTTCTGATCCTTCTCTGCCACCTAGTGGTATACTCCACAGATTGTTTCTTTTTAAAGGCTAGTATAAAACTAATTGAATCGGAATTTACATTTTGGAATTACAGACTCAGTCATTTAATACATAAAGTTATGAGAAAACAGAAATAGGAATTCAGTGTATGTGTTGTATGGTATTCATATATTACCTTTTCAGTTACAAGGTTTTCCAAGGCTTGCTTTGCTATTTACAAAATGTAAAACTTCAAGGTTAGAATAAACAGGATAAAACTGTTCCCATAAGGCATAATCTCCCAGATCAGGCTCCAAAGGAAGTTGCTGTCAATTGTTACATGACGTTTTAAAAGTCTAACTAGCTACCATGTACTGTTTACGTATTTGTAATTGTGTAGGAGTTTCTTAAGCGCTTGTATGTACACTAGTTCATTTAGTTACGTCACATAACAAATTAAAATATATATGACATATTTGTTGTCTTAATACTTTAGAAATTAATTACCTATAAAAGCAGAAAAATATATTGAAGTTATTTAGATAGAATAATAATTAGACAGACTAAAATGATTATTGGTTGCACATTCACGCTCTTCTGTCTGGTAGACAGTCTTTTCCTGAATAAAGAAGAGTTGTTAAGCAAGAGCAGGTATACGTAGTTTTAAAATAAATGATAAATAGAGAAAACCATCCATTTCTAGAATAAAACACTCAGAATGAAAAGTTCAGGTGTGTATTATTTAAAGCACTCATTATACTCAAGGACAATATTGATAAGTTAATATCTTCCCTTTGAAATGTTTCTCAGTAAAAAGAGCTTGTTATCAGCCTCCCACTGCCCCTTTCTTTACTCACCTGCCAGGGGATGTGCTTGCTTTTGTGAGTGACGCCTGGTGTGTATGAAAAACTTACCGGGTCTTTATAATTATCTGTAGCTAAGAGAAGTAACTTTTTTCATATAGTGAGAATTGACTGATGCAAAGATTAAAATGTCCTAGAACCTGGGCACAATTAATATTACATATCATAGAAAGGGAAGAAATTTATTATAAAAGGAACAAAAACATATGACTTCTTTGTCTTAAAATTAACATTAATAGAAAAGAATGAATATCATTTTTTCCTTCTGAAAGGCCAATTTACATTTGAACCAGTTTCTGTACTCTTAATCTGGGAAATTACTATTCTATAACATTAGCATTCATAATTAATTTCTGACCCTGTTCTATAGTTACAGGATCACTGAGGTGTCATTTTTTCTGGACGGAAACCTCTGTGGCTGGTGGCACTGTTGCCCTGGTTTTGCTCGGGCCTGCTGGGCTTGTTTCACCTGCGTGGCCTGGCAGTCTGCACTCAGCTCACGTACCAGTCTGGATCCCACGCCTGCCAAGGGTGAGTCAGGTGTGGAACAGCGACGGGTGTATGAATGAACGTGGGGTCTAGCTACTGGGCACAGTCAGATGTGCTAGTTGCAGGACAGGCAGCTCCAGGTGCTGACGTGAGTGCTCCCTCTTTACAAAGCTGCGTCTGAACACGGCGCACTGCAAGCCACTTCCGCAGCTGGCACTGGGGAACGCAGTTGCATCTGGAAGCTTGGAGATGCCAGGAACTACAGAGCCCCAAGGAGGGAGTCACAGCCCTGGCTTGGGAAGCTTCCAGGTCAGGGATTTCCGAAGGGCCACGGTTCTTCTCCACTCTTCAGCTGCAATGTGTTGAGCAAGGGGCGTGTTTCAGCCCCGTTTGTGTTACAGCTCTTTTAGCCCCACCGTTTGACAAGTCCAGAGTCCTAGTCCTACCACAAAGAAAAATATGAGATATGCAGACAAGTGGAGAGTGAGCAAGATGAAGAGCTTTACTGAGTGATACAGCACCTAAGTCTCCTGCAGAGGGCAGCTCCTTGCCACAGCCAGGCAGCCAGGGTGTCCTGAGGACTGTTCAGCTCCTAGCAGAGAGGAGGCCCTGGAGTGGATTGGTCCTCTCCGCAGCTGGCTGATGTCTGCTCTGCTCTGGCTGAGCCCTGGGGTTTCGTGGGCCTCAGATGACAGGAAATGTGTGCCGATTGGTCCATGGGTGGCCATGGCCTGAAAACGCACCACACGTTCTCACTCGTCTGCACGACTGGCAGCTGGCCACCAGCCTTTACGTCCACCCTGGTCTGAAGACGGAGCTTCACCAGGGACTGCCCCCTTTCACATAGGAGCTTGTCTGTCTTCTGCCACCATCTACGGCGCCCAGGCAGCTCATGCCAAGGGGCATCTGTAGGCCAGCACTGCGCTGTCCTTGGCCCCCACCTCAGCCTCCCTCCTGTGCTTGCTGGTGCCCAAAGTCCACAGGGGCTCAAGTCAGGAGGCGCCTTGTGTGTCCCAAGTGTGTGCACTCCTGGCGAGGCTGCAACAGTGCCCAGGCTTGGCCCCACGTTGCTGAAAGTGGGGAGAAACCAGGCAGCAGGAGCTGGTACTTCCAAGCCTGCAAGGGCAAGAGGGGTCTTCCTGAGACCCCAAGAGTTCAGGAATGCATGGATGAACAGCCGTGGGTTGTGTAGTTACAGCTGGGAATTGGAAGGTGGGGCTCCTGCCTGCTCTGTGGAGCATGTGACCATGACCAGTGCCCTCCTGCTACAGCAGCCTGATGGCACTGGCTGCTTCAGACTGCTCACTGCTGCCATCGATATGACATCCTCAGAGAAAAGCACAATTTTTATAAAACTGTATACAAGTATGAATGCAACACTTATATTTATAGGAGATAATCTATTAAAATTTTCTGTGGAAACTGGTGCTTACAGGAATACAAAACTTAAAATGAAGATAGCGTACTGAAATTATGAAATTATTACATGTTTATTTATTTATTTATTTTAATTGAGACAGGGTTTCACTATGTTGGCCAGGCTGGTCTCAAACTCCTGATCTCAGGTGATCCACCTGCCTCAGCCTCCCAAAGTGCTGGGATTACAGGCATGAGCCACCACTCCTGGCCTAAAAAGGTTTTCTAAAGAATGTAGTTAAACTATAATCACTAATAAGTTAAAGTCAAAATGAGAAAAAAGAAGTGTGCATTTGCTGTGTTCCACTTCATACTCCAAGCATAGAGTCTTATTTTTGATACTAGGCTAGGCTCGCTTATGATAGGAGTAGACATTTTATTCACAGATTTTAATTTATGTTGAAAGGTATAATATAATGTAGTCATTACAAGTAGAAATTAATGCTACACAATATGCCATATCTTTATTTGAAATTATAACTGCCAGGTATCTAAAATAGGGCAGTTTTTTCCAAAAGTAGTTTTCATAGTTTATTTTCAAATTTGCATTCCTCTTTTATAGGCTGTACATAGTGTTAAAATGTCATTCTCACCCAAGGCTCTTGTAAATGAAATGTGTTAAAAACTAATATTTTTTCTTGTTAAAATATATATTTTTGCCATAAAAATACACATGTACAAAAACAAGAGAAAATTAATATTTAAAAATTTACTCATCAGATATATGTGTATATATAATACACATTTCAATATATTTAAATATATATGTGTTTATATATGGTTTTATGACTAAGTTTGTAATCTAAACTCTATCAAAAATAATTTCCTATCATTATTTTTGCTTCAGTAGTAATACGTCATGCTATAGAGCTTTGTTTATAAGCTTTTGAAAACCAAGCATTGTTGTTGGATTTTCTCTATTAAAATAAATACAGAGCTCTGATTATTTTAGTCTATCCATTATAATTATTTTTAATGTAAATGTCTAATATCCAACTTAAATAATAGATATATTATAGATATTAATATGTATTTTTATATTGGCCTCCAGAAACTTAGTTAAAACTCTGGGAAGTAATTTTTAACTAGGTAACAAAGCCTTTAGATTTTATAATCTCTTATTATATATTTCTATTCCTGTAAATCTGGACCCCAAAAAATCAATGCATTTAGCTGAAATTTCAGTGTCATTTATTACTTTAAAATATTAGAAACCATGTAAATACTTTAAAATGTCATAATGTTTAAATTCT